GCTGGGGCGGGGCTCGGGCTGGGCCGCCGCTGTGCGTTCAGCTGCAGAGTCTGCCTTGGACTTTGCCTCGCCCCACCTTACAAACCTCGGTCTTTCCTCCTGGTCTTACGTCTTCATAATTATCTTCATAAAAACTACAGCCACAGACGTTTTTCTCCACGCTGACCGTAATTGGTCAGATTGTTCCTATAGTTCCCGTCCTCGAAACTGTTTGGAGCTTTCCTAGGTGACACGCCCCTTCATTCTTGTGTGTTTGCTCCTGTTGGCCCCTCCCTTGTGCGCGCATGGGTGGTGTAGACTGGCGAGTAGGAGCGCTCCCGAGGTGAGCTCGGCCGTGCTAATGGGAAGGACGGAGGTGAGTGTCAGAAAAGCGCCGGGGTCGCGCCGCTGTTGGACACCGAGGCTTCTTTCTTCCGGAGGAAGCATTCTAGTAAAAAGTGTATTTTCTTGTAACATTGTATTTTGAAGTAATTTTAAACTTACAATTGCAGATGAGTACGGAGAACTCCCACGCGTCCTGCTCTCGGCTTGACCGGCCGCCCACATCGCATCACATTTACTTTGTTTCTCATCCTGTCGCTCTCTGTGTATAATTATACACACGCGTAAATGTGTAGACACACATGCACACGTGCCCATACATACATGAGCGTGTGGAGACATGCATGTAAGCATGTAAACACACACACACGTGCGTAAACACCTGCATGTAAGCATGTAGGTACACGTGCAAACACGTATGCATGTAACTGTATCTTTGCAGATCTGTAAATGTGTACACACATATGTAGATGCGTAGGCATATACATGTAAATATGTGGACATCTGAATGTGTAGATAAGTGTAAATGCACACAAATGTGTAGGCACATATGTAAATGAACAGGCACATATATGTAAATTTGCAGACATGTAATTTTGTGGGCAGTGTAAATGCATGCAGACATGTAAATGTGTAGGCACACATAAATGTGTAGACATGTAAACAAACACATGTAAATGAGTAGACATGAAAATACATGCACATATATGTGGGTGTGCAGACATGTAAATGTGCAGGTGTGTACATGTAAATGCGTAAACACAAGTGTAGGCATGTGTGTAAATGCGTAGACATGTACATAGAACATGTAGACACCTGTAAATGTGGAGACACGTGTAAATGCACAGACACGTGTGTGAATGCACAGGCACCTATGCAAATGCGTGCGCACCCGTATGGAAGTGCGTAGTGTTGTCTGGGCTGTGAGTCGCAGACACCCTCCTTTACCCCTAAATGCTTCACAGGCAATTTCCTAAGAACAAAAACACCTTTTTATATGACCACAGTTAAGTTATCAAAGATTAGATGAGATTTCCTAATTATGTACATATATTACTTTAATTTAAAATTATATTTCTAATTAAAAGTCTGTAAGAAGCCAGACATTTGAACATATTTTGTAGCCCCTTCTAGATGCTTCTATGACTCCAGACTGTTGTCCAGCACTGGCTGCTGCCCGGCAAGGCCACAGACGAGCTCACGGGGGTGTGGTGGGGGTGTGCCCCGGGGGGTGCTGGAAGGGACTGCGCCCCGTCACCTCCCCACAATTGCTGTGTCTGTCGCGTTTTGCCTCTACCGTCCATGTGCCCCCTATCACCCCCCATTCTGCTCTGGCGGAGGTGACGCTCTCCGTCTGTCTCTGCAGCCTATGGCATCGGCCTCCTGGTGACATTCTTGGCCCTGGCGCTCATGCAGCACGGCCAGCCCGCCCTCCTCTACCTGGTGCCCTGCACGCTGGTGACAAGCGGCGCCGTAGCACTGTGGCGCCGGGAGCTTGCCATGTTCTGGACCGGCAGCGGCTTTGCGGTGAATATGTTTGCTATGACTGTCAGGAGCAGTAATAACCTAATGCCCCTAACTAGAGTCAGTGTAACACTGAGCCCCGCGGCTGGCAGGTTCCCTGCTTGGTGTCTCCTTGTTTCTGGAAGGTTTTGCTTTGAGTGTCATGTCCGTGGGGTCCCGGTGGGGTTGGCATGCTGGTGTCCCAGTTTCTGAAGCTGCCCCTCCTGAGATACAGTAACACCCCATCTGAGTGGACGTCAGGCTTCCAGCTGCTTCCACCATTGAGAAGGCAGAGCCGGACTTGGGAGGGGCCATCAGCGCCCCTGTACCAGGGACATGGCTGTCGCCACAGCTGTTGCCAGGCTGTCAGGTGGGGGTGCGGGCGCCCCCCGGAGCAAGAGTGCAGGCCCCACCTGGGACAGCAGGTTCCCTCACCTGTGGGACAGAGTCCCCTCAAGGGAGGGCCGAGAGTTAAAAGCACCAATGCAAGGAGGTGCTTACACCTGTGTCAGTTTTTATTTTTATTTTTTAAACAGAAGAGGAAAGGGGCGGGGTCAGTGAGGCAAGCATTTCAGGTAGGCGGGAACCTCTGCACAGGTTTCCAGAACTCTCATCCTGTGCAGCCACCCACGTGCTCTGGATAGTTCATGCTGGAGGCAGATAACACCGGGAACAGTCCTGTCGGTAACAGGAACTTTCTTTTTGTTTTTGGTGGCTGGTCGGTACAGGGATCCAAACCCTTGACCTTGGTGTTATAACACTGCGCTCTAATCAACTGAGCCAACCGGCCAGCCCCGTCACAGGTAAATTTTAAGACCATTTGGGTCTGTAAATTGACAAGTGAAGCCTCCCTCCATGGGAAACGCCTCATTCTCGGCAGTGCCAGTCACATGTGGTGTTACTGTGTTGGGTTGCTGTGGAAGTCAAAAGCCAGTCCCGTCGGGGCCGCTTTGTGACGTACTAAGTGGGGGCTCACGAATCCCATGGGGAGACCGGATGTTCTCCCAGACCTGAGGGAAAGGCCTCCAAGGGCCAGTGTGTGTGGCCCCAGAGTTTCTCATCGGAGGTGGACTTTGCCACTTCTAGAAAGGTTCAGGAGAAGCCGGGGTCGTGGGGGCGGTGGCCCAAGTCAGGCCCCTTAGGGGCTGAGAGGTGTGGCAGGGTCTGGAGTTTTCTATTTGCTCCTGGCCTCGGGAGGCCTCAGTTTCCCTGCTGTAATCCCATATCCTGTGGGTGGTCCTGGGTGCTGTGGACACTGGCCCTCTTTCCTTGGGACTGCTCCTTCTCGTCCTCAGCTGAAGCAGACCCTTGGGATGGCCCCTCATTCTGCCCCCTTGGTGGCCTGTGGGTGTCAGGTGTTGTGCTGCCCTGGACAGGGGTCTCCTCCGGGTCCTTGTCCCCATCTCACCAGTGGCCTCTCTCCTCTTGCAGAAAGACCTACCTCAGCCTCCGTGGGCTCCAGCTCCAGCCAGTGGCCCGCAGCCTCCGAAAGACTCAGATTCCACCCTCTCCCCACAGCCAAGTGAAGAACTGGTCCAGCCGCCCTCGCCCAAGGAGCTGTCACCAGCGCCGTCCACGTCCGAGCAGACACGGGGGAGCCCAGATGGCAGCCCCCCGGAACCCACAGGCCAGGCCCAGGCCCCACCCAGCGCCTCGGCGTAGCGCGGGGAGAGGCGCAGGTCCTGGGCCCCTCACACCTGTTGACACCACGCGGAGATGCGGGACTAGAGGCGCAGATGCCACGTCGCCCACCGGCCGCCTCCCCCAACATGGTGCTCGCCCCTCCCGCCGCCCTCCTTGGCCCCGCTGCACTGCGGCCCCTCCAGCCCCGGCCCGGCCCCGGCCGCGGCCTCCCTCGCCCCACGCTCTGCCTGCGGCCTTGAGGGCCCGCTCGGCGCCATCCACCCGGGAGAGGCCCGACAGCCACGGGCGTGTCCGCGTTTGGTGCTTCCGGCTGCTTCCTTCCTTCACGTTTTTCCTTCTTCCCTACGAGACGTCCTGCTCCTGGGGCAGGAAAGGGGAAGGCTCTGCCTCCCTGGAGGCCGCCTTTGCCGTGCGAAGTCCAGCTGCTCCACATCTGGGAAGCTGCGCCCGGCCTGCATCCTTCTCCGTGCTTTAATAAATGGTCACGGCTTTTAGGAGTTCTGTAGTGTCACCTTGCGGGCTGTGAGTCGCACACTGCTCTTCTGATGGGTGGGTGCCAGGCAGGCAGTGGACAGCCCATGGGCGTCCCTGGAGCCCAGGGAGGAAGGGGCCAGCCGTGGCCAACACACGACGCCCCGTTGCCTGTTTCTTCCGTTGGCTCCATCCTGCTTCTCAGCGGAGAGGCTCAGGCCAGGGCTGTCCCTGCGTCTCGGGCCATCACGTGTCCTTAATCACTTCACGTTCCAGTGCACGCAGCTCGTCTCGTCCAGCTGCTGCAGGCGGCCCGCTTTTCACCTAAACCACCAAGGAGCTTCTGGAACATGCGAGGAGGATCTGGAATTGGTGTCTTGACTTCTACCTCACCGACGGGGTTCTCTGGACCCCTTGACAGAGATGCCCGTGGTGGAGCCGCCTGACATCCCCTGGCACGCCGCGTATCACCACTTTCTGAAGCAGCATTCCCGCAGCCGATGGCGGGGCTGTCTGTGGCCCGGGACCCTGCACCTGTCCGCCCCATCCACGCAGCCTCCAGACTCGAGTCCAGAAAGGTGTTTCTGTTTACGTAAAAGGAAGGCAGAAGCCCTCCAGCCGCACAGTGACAGCCCCGCTCGCTCCCACCCCGTGGCTGTCGAGGTCCTTTCTAGACAGGGGGGACCATGATCCGTTCTGAAAAATACCAGCACCAGAGACCCGCAGCCTCTGACAGCCTCGCTCCTCCAGGGAAAAGTGTTTTTCCTCAAAAAAAAAAAAAAGTGTCTCCCTCCACTGTTTCTGGGTGTTTCTCTGAAAGGACTGGGTGCGCTGGAACAGGAGCGACTGAATGTCCTCCCCTGGACGCTGCGAGGCCCGGGGCCACCCTGCTTCTGCCGGTCGGACTGCGCCTTAATTGAAGCCATTTTCTACGTTGGTGTAAGAGCGGCCGTTTCTCTTTTGTGTGTGTTGGAAACTTGACCAGTGTCAAGGAACTGAAAGGCAAATGTCACTTCCCAAAGTCTCCGTTTGTATGTCTGGCCTTGCGTCTGTTTGAATCTGATAATTAAACAGCTTTTGATACTTACGTCTCGCCTCCTCCGTGGCCAGCAAGTGTGTGGATGCCAACAGCCTGTCCCTGTCCTTGTCCCTGTCCTTGTCCCGTCTCGGCTGAGGGTGTCGCAGCAGATCTGCAGCAGAGGGGCAGGCCGCCGGTGCGGTGGGGTTGTCCGCGTGCTGCAGCGCAGCTCCTCACCGCACCATGCGGATCCTGGTTAGTAGGATTTAGGATGGGAAGGAATCTCAGCAGCAGCTTAGTCTGTTCTGAGTGTCTGCGGGGGAGGGAAGGGCGTCTCCGGCAGTGTTTCTGCAAGGTGCCTGGGGTCGATAGCCTGCGCTCCGTCGCCTGTGTCGATGCTGTGTGCATCAGTGCTCGGGGTGGTGGCCAGTGACTTTATTAGCAGACCCTGAAATGGGAATCTCATAGCATTTTCACATGTCATGAAATACTCTTCTTTTGGTTTTTTCCAACTCTTTGAAACATTAAGACCTTTCTTAGCCGGCGCTGCACAAAAACACAGCGACAAGGTTTGGTCGAGGGCCGTCACTCCGAGCCTGGCCTCTAGGCATGTAGACAACAAAGACGCTGGCTTGTGTGCGGCTGAGGGGCCCATGTGTCCTGAGTGCTGTGTGTCCACGCTGTGACCCCGAGTGGTCTTGGGCAAGTCACTCCAGCTCTGTCCCCGTGTCCTCTGCAAAGTGGGGATGATAATAGTGCGCAGTATGTCTACCGCAGGGCACCGTGGCCCAGATGCCACGAGGTCAGGCGCCTGATGCAGCGTTAAGAAATGGTTGTTACTATCCTATTAATGACACACTTGGTTCACGAAGACGGAGGGTCTCCAGGCAGGCGCAGCAGGGGCATGTCCTGGCCTGCATGTGTCACACAAGGCCCAGCAAGAAAGAGGGGCCGCAAGTTGGCATCAGGAGAACGTTGTTTCTATTTCATCGGGGAGTACAGCTCTGTGTCTTGTAGTTTGTTACAAAGTGGAACAATATGGTAACATTAGTGATTTTCTTTCACTAAGCCCACCAGAGCTTATATATATTACACCCACCCACCCAACGCCCATCTCTCCATCCATCCACCCACCCATCCGTCCACCCACCCATCCGTCCACCTATTCATCCATCCATCATCCATCTGTCCACTCGTCCACCCACCCATCTACTCACCCACCCACCCATCCTTCTATCCATCCTTCTGTCCATCCATCCACCCGTCTACCTACCTACCTGTCCACCCATTCACTCTTCTACCCACCCATCCATCCACTGATCTCCACTGAGCACCTGCTGTGTGCCAGCCACTCCACTAGGGACTGGGGATGCATCACATGTGAGTCCCATACCCAACTCTATGCCCAGGCAGCTCAGCCTGGTGAGGAAGGATAGGACAGGATCAGCTCAGGGGACTTTGGATCCACACAGGAATAGTCCTCAGCTCATCTTAGGGGGGCAGGTGTCAGGGAAGGCTGCCCGGAGGAGGTGACTGTCAGCTGAGCCTGAGGGCTGCAGGAGGAATTGTTCTGGGCCCCTGGCGCAGAGGTGAGCGGGGCCGGTGCCCAGTGTTCAAAGACGGAGAGGGGTGGGGTCAGTGTTTTGGGGTCTGGTGAGAAGGCTCTGGTCATCAGAGGGTGAGGGGGTGGAGTTGTGGAAGAAGCCCACCAGCAGCCCTGAGGGGCGAGGAAGGTGACCTCGGCAGGTCACAAGCTCCTCCCCACAGGGCCATCCCTGGGAACCAACCGCAGCTGGACAGAAGCGGGGCAGGAGGCAGCAGTGGAGATAGCCTGGGTTTGGAGCCCCCGCTTGCATCCCTGGGGCTCTGCGACCTCAGGTCTTGGGGCTGCAGCACCTCTTTTGCCAAAAGGAGGTGACAGCTGTGTTTGCAGAGTCATCGTGGGCACCTGGTGGAGTCCCCAGCACTGAGCACACGGCACATCCTTGGTAAGTTGGATCACTCTGCGGCAGCCAGGGAAAGTCGGACCCAGGAGCAGGACCCCATGGCTTTGCTCCTCTCCAGCACCACGCTTGGCTCCCCGTGGCTTGCAGCAATTCCCAAAAAATAAATCTCTATTTAAATCACAAAGATGCTGCAGCTGATGGTGGTAGAACGGGCTGGTCCAAAGTATTTTGAGATCAAATAGTGTTTCCAAGGAGGTTCTCCGTCTCCTGTGACAACCCAGAGGGAGAGAAGCAACCCCGGGCCAAAGCAGCGGGGCAGGCTGGGGGCAGGCCAAGGGGCATCCTGCAGAACTCCTGCCCGGTCCTCCAACTGTGCAGGGCATCAGGCGCTGGGAGAACATCGGAGAAACTGTCTCAGCCCAGAGGCGCTGAGGAGGTGGGTCGACCAGGTGTCCTGTGGGATCGTGACGGGTCCCAGGGGCAGAAAGAGGACGCTGGAGGAAACTGAGGACATCTAAGTAAACGGTGGATGTCAGTTAGTAACAATGTATCGATATCTGTTCATGAACGGTGACAACGCACCCATCGCTGTAAGATGTGAACAGGGAGACTGGGTGTGGGATACGGGGGGATTCTGTGCCAACTTCCAACTTTTGTGCAAACCTAAAACTTCTCAAATAAAAGGCTTATTTACAAAAATGTTGAGATATTCACCCACATCTCCCCTCCCTTGCTCAGCTCTCTCCCTGCCCTGAGCACCTGCTCCAATGCCCTCTGTCTCAGGTCACCTGTCCAGGTGAGCCACCTGCCCAGGTGCGCGCACCAGGTGACCGACCCCTGGGGCTCGCCTCGCAGGGGACGGGGCTTGGCCGGAGGGTGGGGCAGGTGACGCCGGGTAGAGAGGAGGGGTGGAGCCCCCACCCTGGGCACGCCCCTCTCCCGCCCCACCCCTCCCCAGTCCGCGGCTCCAGCTCTGGTCGGTCGGGGCGGGCGGGATCCCGGCGGCCGCGGTGCAGCCTCGTCGCCTGGAACACAGTGAGTCGGGGTCACCCCCGTGGGATTTGGCCGTGCAGCCCCCACGACCGGAGCCTCGGCTCACCAAGATCCAGGCTGGTGGACGGGGCTGGGGCACTCGGCGGGGGCCCGGGACCCCCGAAGGCCTCCCCACCTCATCTGCCTCTTCCTGGTCTTTTCTATCCACGAATTTGGCAAAAAACTAAGAAGGGCGCTGAGCCCGGAGCCTTCCTGGGGGATGGGCACGGGGGTTTCTCCCCCAGTTGCTCGTGAGTAAAGACTCGTTCATGACAAGGATTTGGGGGTAACAATTTGAGAAGGGTGGTCAGGGGGCCTGACATGGGGGTGGGGGTCACGTCCGCCTGGGGCTAGGAGCTCCCCAGGTTCAAAGTGGCAGGAAAGCCTGACCCTGCACCAGGACATCCTCCAGTTATCACTGGTGTGACTGGGAACCAGACCTGGGCAGGGGTCAGTGCTGCCAGGTCCTCGGTGGTCCGGGACGCTTGCCCTCCTTCCCGCATTTCCCAGGGGGTCCAAGCGAGGCCTTTGGGACCCCACAGAGGAAGGCGTGGGCTCGGGGGGCTGCCACAGGCTGCAGGGACTGTTATAATCTTAACCAGCTTCGTGTCCCAGCACCTGCTGTGACCTGCCTGCGGGACACCAAGGGCATGAGGCCTGTGTACAACAGATTCACGGCGTGTGCATTGCAGCGTGGGGACAGCATGGGGACCCATAATGGTGGCCGCCCATGTAGGGCCTGATGCCGCAGACCTGGCTCCAATTCCGCCCACTGGCTGGGTGTGGTTGTATGAGACTGTGGGTGTGATTGTGTGTGGTGTGTAATTGTGTCTGTCTCTGTATGGTTATGGGTGGTTGTACATGAGATTGTGTGCTTGAATTACGTGTGTGATCACAGGTGTGAGGTTGCGTGGTACTGTGTGTGAGCTCAGCTGCGTGACTGTGTATGGTTATGTAATTGTGCAGTTGTGGTTCTGCGTGGTCATGTGTGATTGCATATGACTGTGCTATTGTGTATGGCAATGTGTGTAATTGTGTCTGTGGCTGTGTGTGATTGTGTGTGGCTGTGTGTGAGATTTGTGTGGTTGTGTGTGGCTCTGTGTGATTGTGTGTGGCTGTGTGTGGTTGTGTGTGGCTGTGTGTGAGATTTGTGTGGCTGTGTGTGATTGTGTGTGGCTGTGTGTGGTTTTGTGTGGCTGTGTGTGAGATTTGTGTGGCTGTGTGTGATTGTGTGTGGCTGTGTGTGGTTGTGTGTGGTTGTGTGTGGCTGTGTGTGGTTATGTGTGAGATTTGTGTGGCTGAGTGTGGTTGTGTGTGGCTGTGCGTGGTTGTGTGTGGCTGTGTGTGAGATTTGGCTGTGTGTGGTTGTGTGTGGCTGTGTGTGATTGTGTGGCTGTGTGTGGTTGTGTGTGGCTGTGTGTGGTTGTGTGTGGCTGTGTGTGGCTGTGTGTGGCTGTGTGTGGTTTTGTGTGGCTATGTGTGATTGTGTGTGGCTGTGTGTGGTTGTGTGTGGCTGTGTGTGGCTGTGTGTGATTGTGTGTGGCTGTGTGTGGTTGTGTGTGGTTCTGTGTGGCTGTGTGTGATTGCACTATAAGTTGAGTGTGATGTTGTGGGTGGTTGTGTGAGGTTGTGTGTACCTTGTGTGTGTGTGAACACCACTCTTCCTAGTCTCCCCATCTGGAAAATAGGCTGACCTGACCATTAGACAATGTGATCCCAGCAAGGTTGGCGCGGCATGGAGCCCCCCGTCCCTGCAGACTCCCCCGACTGTGGCGTGTGAATTCAGGCCAGTGAACCGTGCAGCCTACCCTGGCTTCGAGCCCTGTCCTTCACGGGCATCCATGTATCGTCCAAAGTTCACTTTGCAGAATTCTGACTGTTTAAGGTGTGAAATCTGGAGCTTGGAGAGTCTTTGGTCACAAGGTGTTGGTGTGGGCTTCTGTCAAGGCTGGGGACTCCGGCCGCCAGGTGCGCATGTGATCGGGGAAGCCCCGAATGGTCAGAATCCTCATCCTGTCGCCGCGCCGCTGGTTGAGGGTCTGGGCACTGAGTGTGGAGCGGGATCCCAGGTGAGCCACTGTGCGTTGGCAA